GGGATTAGAGGTGGCTGCAAAATTCAGCACTCTGAGGACTAAAGTGTCTATGTCCATCCCAACTAGGAGAAACATGAATGTTCAGAGGATTTTGCCAATGGGACTTTGAGTGCTGAAATAGAAAAAGGATAGCAGTAGCATATGGATGTTGGACTTGGCACTTAAATGCAGTGAAGTGCTGAAGCATCCTCAGGCGATGACAGGTTATAGTTGCTTCAAAGTTTTGTACCTTTCCCTCTTTCTCCATCTTGGGGGATATTACTTGGTTTCTTACACACCTTGTTTATTTGATGTGACTCCACCATAAGCTCTTCAATGTGAGAATTGCCTTTTACCGTGTGCTAATTTTAATATGTGCTATTTACTAATTTTAATATGTGCTAAGCACTTGGGGAACTTGGCTAGCAACACCTAAAAATGTTCCCTCTTTTTCCCTCTTAAAGAGACCTCTCTTAAAATATGGGATAGACATTGTAATGTCAGTTTAATTACATTGCAATTCAAATCCTGTACATTTTGTGCCAATTGACCTTCATTATATCATCAGAAGCACCTTTTTGTTTTTTTTGTTTGTTTGTTTCTACTTATTTTGAAAACTATCTGTGCATGTGCTCTTGTTCTACAGTTGGTACCCTCGGACTCCAGGGAATAGGAACTGTATTTCTTGTTCCATGACAGAGCTTCAACAGTAATTAAAATGAATACTTTCCTTATGGATAAGACATTTGTGGAAATGTGATCTCCTCCAGGCATTTGCAAGATAATGCAAGCCAATTAAAACATCCTGGAGGTTGTGTGACTTTGAAACTTATCTCTACAGTCATGTAAGTTCCTTCTTGAAAAAAAAACGAAAAAAAACTGTGTTTTAGAGTCCATACCAATTAAGATCTCATCACAGTAACACACAGTAAAAGCTGGTTTTCAATTTTGTTTTGTACTGAAGATGTTACTAGGAGTTGCTTTGTAGTTTTGTTTCTGCTTCCACTACCAGTGGTTGCAAAAACAAAATGTCATTGCCCAAGAAAACCTATCTTTCTTTTTTTTTTTTTAATACAGACTGCTTGAGTTAGTGTCATGAGTAATTAAGCAGCCTATGGTATATACTGTCTGGAGACAGTGTTTTTAGTGGATCTGAATGATTAAGTCTGGTTTTGTTTGTTTTTAATCCCATTTTTCATCCAGTAATCTAAAAGAGAAGCCTGCTGTCTTCCAGTTTGTTCCACATAAATGGGAAGACACGTGAGTTGAGTGTCTGGAGCATCGCCAAGACTGTAAATGAGCCCTGCAGCAGCGCTGATGGAAATCATAGCTGAGAGCAGTCTTGTGCGTTGGTCAGAGACCATCTTTCAGATCTCACAAATGATTTGTGAGGGAAGACAGTAGCAAGTAGAGTAAGCCAAGCGTATGCTGGCTGATAACTTGTTATTCTTCTGTCATTTGATCACATCAGATCATATGCCCTTTCTCTAGCTAGTAGGTTCCTGGATCTCATTTTATACAATGAGTAGCAGTCAAAACTTAGCAGTCTTTTTGCTGAAATTCCCTATTGCTTCATAGCAAGGTTTTTGATCATCACTTCCTTACTGCGCTTGATACCTGACTTTTCTATCATTCACCTGTTACAAGCAGGTTGTTGGCACTTGTGACAGAAAGGATTAGGCATATATGTGCTAACTTTTCACAGTTCAGCTCTATAAAGGTAGGAAATTTAAAAAAAAAAAAAAAAGGAGAGGGAGAAGAGATTTTGAACAGCAAGGGCTTAGAAGAATGCCTGAACTGGTGTGTACTTCCATGTATTGTAGTATATGGCTTCCAGGTTTTGATCTGTGGAAAGCATTAGGTATTAACAAGCTGTACAAAGCCAAGATGGTACAAGAGAACAGAAAATCACATAAAGCAAATGAGGTTTTACAAGTAGGGAAAACCAGGACGCACAAACTGCTGAATAAGATTAGTCATGGGCCTGGTTGTCCATCTTGACTCTTAGCACAATAAGGAAAGATTTGTCGGTGGGAGGTGACAGTTTTCTTTCTCTGGGTTTATGAACTGTGTGCTACACCTGTGTTTTACACAGCACTGTATGGAGAGTACAAATCACAGTTTTTCCTTAAATAGTGACTATGTTTTTTTAGCCAGCTGCTGAGCTCTTACAACTATGAGAAATGTCGATAAAATTTCAGGGTAGTTAATAGCTGACAAGGTGGGGCCCAATGGCTGGATGCAAGGCTGACCAATAGTCTAGAACTCACTTCATGCCGAATGGAATTGTTCAGTTTTGAAGTTTTAAATTCTGCAGGCGTAGGCTGAGCAGCAGATGGAAATAGCAACCCTCATAACTTATGTACTTATTAACCAAATGAGATTATTGAGGGGTTTTATAATTGACTGTTTACTTTTCAGCTATTCTGTAGGATTTGTTCTGTGGACAGGAAAAAAAAGGTATCACTGTTCCTCCTCACTGGCACTTGTCCATGTGCCAGCAAATGCAGCGGATTGCAGAGAAGTTTGCAGAGTTCACATCAAGAAATACGAAGTGCAGCATTCTTAATAATTTGTAATTAGAAATGGATTTCCTTCTCTGTCAAGTTCAAGTGTTAGTGCACTATAGCTTGTATCTCTCATTGTAATACCAAGGTAGGCTATGTAACACTTTTAAGATGAAACTATCCATTTTGCTGATTTCATAGAAAAGGGAAGTTATGAAGAAGAAAATTGGTTCAGAAACTTTGCTTTGCTCTAAAGCTAAATACTAAATATCTGAAAAAGAGATTATAGTCTAGGACTATTGTACTTCAGAAGAGTAGCACACCCTTTTCTGTTCTCTCTAGTATTTATCCAAATTACTCAGCTTCCTTTTATGAAGGACTGAGTGAGAGTCAGGGCAAAATTACATATAAAGACAAATGTAAAATTGCCATTACGTAATGGTTTTCTTGTGATACCTTTTATAGTAGAAACATTTTCCATAAGAATAGGATCAAGCTCCTGACTGGTATTTTATTTACAAAACAAAGAAGCAAACAAAAACAGCCTTGGAGTAAGGTGTGACAACCTGTAGTGAAATACAGTTTTTATGCTGAGAAAAGCATTTGTAACGATGCAGTGCATTTCAGTGCATAGAAACTTTTCAGTCTGACTGTCAAAATGCGAAGGCGATTATTTATGTCATAGAACCATAATATCCTTCTCCAGAAAAATGGCACACTCATCCATGGACAGACTCTTCTGTCTGTACCTGTAAGAGAAGTAACTAATGCTCAAAGCTTCTCTTGACGGAGAGTTCAAATTCCCCTACAGTTTATTAAATGCCTGCTTTCCAGTAATGGATTTTTTCCCCCTCCCTGGTGCAAAATAACTGCAAAGAGGAGTATTCTCCCAAGCAGAGATTCAATAGTAATGATGGGTGTTCAGTGGCTGCAGCATGCTATATTAGAATTGTCTGCTTCTCTTAACCCTCAGATCAGCATTTTTTTTGTTCTTTATGAAGGCTCTGAGATGGTTCTAGAGATCATCACTACCTAGAGAGATGATACAGTTTGCACCTGAGAGGTGATCTAGTTTGCTGCTTCAAGTTGTTACATTACAATTTTCTACTGTTCCACTGTAATGTGGAAACTGCGCAACACAGTAAAAGGTTAGAAAAATTACGCGTTTACGGGGACCTAAGGTAAATAATCTTCCCAAACATGCATCCCTTTGCCTCCTTTTTTTGTTTGTTTATTTGAAAGCTCTGATCAGACACACTGTGGCAAAGTTGGTTGGTTGTTTTGCTTTCTAGGCTAAGGAGATTACCCCAGGGTGTTGTGCATTGGTAGCTGGCACAGAACCTGTCCATAAAATAAAAACCTAGTACCACTGAGAAGCATGTAATAAATAAAAGAAATGGTTAACAGTCAGTAATGCTAACTTACCTGATGCCCCAAATTGCCTTGTGAAGCAGAGAACAGTAGTTTTTAGGTGCTGAGGAAGTTGTAGGAACCAATACATTAGTGTTAGTGTGACTGATATTTTCCTGGTACACTTATCCCAAAAAACTCAGACTATTTCAGACCAAGCAAAGCATAAATTCCGGCACTGGAGGGATTTTATGCTTTGAAGGAGAGAGGACAGTAAGTAGCTCAGACTCTCTCAGTCTTCCATGGGGCTGGAGGGATTGGAAAGGGAGATGGGGAGGGAGGGAGGACATATCCAGGCACTAAAGGCATTACACCACAGCACCTCTCACCACATTTCCCCACTCACCCACCACACTACCCCCTGGTAGATCACATCACATCACATCACATCACATCACATCACATCACATCACATCACATCACATCACATCACATCACATTCCCGCTCCCCTTCTCTTCAAAGTAAGGTGTTGGATGGGGTTTTTAGTTCTTATTCCTCCTGCTGAGTTCAAGACAGGACAAGCCTTCCCTCATGAATTGGGGCTTATGAATTGTTTTTTAGCTGCTCGTTATCAAGTGACTACAATACACTTACTGGGAATATCCTAGGCTGGGAAGTCCTCATGTCAAACAGTAATTAATGGCTTGTTTCACATAATACATATATATCTGTGTCACCTAAATAATAACTTGTATGCATTTTTTCCTTCCTCCTTTGTTATACTGATAGAAATGAACAGAAGGACTGATTATAAATCATGCAAAGCTTGTCGATAAAATATGAATGGATTCTGGCTATTGAGTCCAAGGCCAGAGTTGATCACTGGATTGTCTTTTGTTCCGTGGTCAGATGTAGGAGACAGTAATAAATTGTCCATTGAGCTGTACCTCTGGGGCCAACAGTTGCAACTTCTCAGGAGGAAGCAACTTGATTGTGTGACTTGATTGTGCTATCTCCTTTATCCCAGTAACACGTGGTACTAAGAAGCTTCTGATGTCTGCTTTAAAAATGGAAGGAGCTGTGGCTAAAAGTACATGGGTGGGGAAGGGAGGCAGTAACAGATGAACCTTAATTTTTTTCCTTCCTCCCTCTCTTGATTCAAGGTCTTGCTCTGTATAACATATACCTCCACGTTTGAGCTGAATGGGAGTTCAGTGTTGAAGATTGCTGAGGTAAGTGCTTCTGTCGTACCATTGCTTGTGTCACTTAATGTTCCCCCACTACCTAGAGTGTGTCTTCCATACATACCCTGAAACTGAACGAGTTCAAATCACAATTACCATCTTAAAGGACTGGTATTACTTTACATCTAGTGTGAAGAAATAGCTGCAAGTTGGGCAGGGCTGTTGGGCTTGCATGGGAAGGCACTTTTGGAAACTGACTGACAGTTGTATACTACCGTGTTGCGTATTTACTACGCCTCATATTTACCTTGCTTTGCCTTTTGCAGTAAAAAAATTCCCTTGAGTTCTTTATAACACAGCATCGTGCTGATTCCTTACCTGGTGCAAGTCTGAAACTAATGAAGTTTCCTGAAGAGAGGTGTGTAGGCTATAACGTGCCATGTTAGCACAAGTGCCACGATGTGCCTTGTTAGCCTTGTGTGTATCTCTTTCCTAATACATCCAAGTAAAAAATTTATTACATCTCTAAATATATGGTGTTGTCCTGGTGCTATTAGTCATTCTTCTCCCTTTACTCCATTAGATTTTAGTCTGAATTAAATTGCAAAGGAGCTTTGGCTGTAGAAAAACATACCTCCAGGTCTATTAAGTGAGCCTTTGTAGATGGGTGATATTTTTAGTACAGTGTGTAGCAAGCCATGAGGCTGTTTGCTCAGGTTAGAGAAGATGCACAGGAACACTTAATCCTCCTGTGCAGCATGCACTGTTGTGTGCATGATATATTATAAAATTATATTGTTAATGTGGTATGGGGAGAGCTAATGTCCATGGAGCAATGTAAAGGTTATATACATGTCCCATACTCCAAGTGTATGTAGACATTTAGAGATGTGTTCCTTCTCAGGTTTTGGTATTTTGTAAAAAAGAAAAATCCCATGTAAAAATAAGCTAACTTTACCACTGTATTTTCTAAGTTTAGGAATAAAATTGACCTTGCATTGTCCCTTGGAAGCTGAGAATGGGTTTGTAGGGATAACAGGGAACCAAAGGAAACAGCTGCCAGTTTGTAACAAAAGGACTTTAAAAGGCAGGGATACAACATAAACAGTTTGTGTGTATAACATATATAGGATAAAAAAAAGTAGTATTCATTCCAGATGTCATGCACGGCTTAGACTTTGGTTTCTCTTGTGCTATGTGAGACTTCCAAATCCATAAGGTATGGCTATATTTGGAAGTTTTTGTAAGCCCCACCTGTAGATGCTGCAGCAAGGATGAACTGAATTGGTATTTAGAGCAAGCCACAACTTTTTAAGTTTTACTAAACCTTCTTTAGGTCAGTGTCCCAAACTGAAGAAAATACAGATAGTTTCCCCTGCTGCAGTCTTTCCTAGCAGGTTTTCTAACATGCAAGGCAAAAGCTGATGAATTCAGCTTAGTGCATCTCTTTGCTGTAGTTAAAAAGCTCTAGCTTAGACAACATACTAGCTGGGAAAAGCATTTAATGGCTCTAAACCCTTCAGATTTCAGTCTTTAAGAGCACTGCCTAAGACTGCGGGAAAATGGTCCATTGGTCATGGTCTGTGTGCTGTAAGCTGTATCAGAAATCATACTTTCTGTTCTCTCTGTAAATTTGGATAACAATAGGCCTGTTATTCATTTAAAGCATCCTGAAAAATGGCAGTTTTCTTCCATAGAGTGGAGTTAAACCCTGCTGTTCTTGGTAGTTGCACTTCACTTTCATTCCCAAACGGCTAGCCTGGCTCTTAAAAACCTTTGCTAGTGTAGTGGTACACATTAGCTTTGAAGAGGACTTAGTGTCCTCTCTCCTTCAAAGCATAGTTTGTCTTTTTTCTTTTAAAATGAATAGAAGCCCCGATGCAGGCTGATGAGATGTGCCAGAAAGCAAACAAAACTTTCATTTCCTTCAGGGAATTGGAACAAGCTGTAATACAGAGCATGCGTGTTTCTATTTGGTGTGTTTGGAGTTATAGCTATTTTCCCCATGCATGTCGAGAAAATACTGCCTTGGTGAATGCCTAGGTCTTTCTAATTAGCAAGTCCCGCCAGGCACATACATGCTTCCTCAGGTTCTTCCTGGCCAGGTTTTAGGTAAGGCAAAGGCTGTAACAGCTGGACTCAATATGCCTTTGTATCTGAATTCTGTAACA